GCTTTTCCAAATCGCTTACCCCTCGCTCTCGGCAGATTACTCAGAAAATCTACACCAAAATGCCTTAGAGAACGTAATAGCGGTACGATAGAGTAGCGTGAAAGATTAATACAGCAGCAGGTGACCAATAAGCTGCACTGATTACGCAGAACGCAACACGTTACGATAGCGTTAGTTTCAGAATACGATACTCGGTACAGTATTCGATACGATGATCGGTACGATACCCGGTACAGAAGATGACGGTCGCGAACCAATACAATAGATAAACACTTGTACACGCGAGACAACGAAATAACGAAAATGCTGCTTGGCGCTTTACTGGAACTTCAGGGTTTGTACTATTCAATAGAGTAATTACGCGACACGTACTTAGACCTACAAATTAATACCTCGAAGCCCCGTGGAATCCGATTCTAGCCGCTGCCAAAAATTCAAAACTATGGCGAAGGTTATGTCCTTGCCGGTACCAAAACGCGAAATTTACCGACTAGCCTCGACACGAGACTCGAGTAACGCGGATTCGTGGCTCACAAATTAACGAGGACACCTCACCGTACGTCGTTGTCCTTCTCCATCCAGCCTAATAGCCAAAACTCTTCGTTAAACAATTGATCGTCGAAAGTGCCGTTAGTGCGTTTGTTCTGTTCGGTAGGTAGCGACCAAGAGAGCGAGGATCGAGATCGATTCGGGGTCGATGCGTCTGAGCGCGCTAGGATCGCGTAGGGTAGATTGCGGCAACCAATCAGGTCGCGAGGGGCGCCAAACGCGACGCGATGCTTGCGCTTGGCGGCCGGACCCGTGGCCGCGAAATTCAAATCGACTACCGGGTCCTCGCTAGCGAAAATCCAAGCAGCGGAGATTTTCACGCGTTGGATTCCGCAAATGTAACAGAGATGCAGCATGCAGTAGCGTAGCAGGGTAGTAGTTGCAGGTTAGCAGCGGAAGTTAGCAGCAGGCCTTTCCAATATGAAAGAAAGGTCAAAGCTGTCCCCATTGTTGGGTGTTCGCCTCGCTTCTTCGGCTTCCCAGCGCCAAGGTTCCCTGTCCGCATCGCTGTCATCTCTCTCGCCGCTTATTCCTGGAAACTCACCCCTCTGGTCGTCGTGCGAGTGCCTAGCTGCAACTCTACGCACACCCTTCTCTCTCGTTTTTTCTCGCCTTTTATCTACAATCGACGGCTCCTAATATCTCCTCCAGTAGTGTGTTCTCGGCATGGTGAGGCGCCAAGAGCATACAAAAAAATAATGAGAATAAGCTACTATATCTAGCGCACGCAAGCAAGCCCTGGAAGATCCTGGCGCTTCCCAGACGGTTCGCACCCTCGGACTTCCGTGATCATGAGAGTTTTTTGTGGCAAGAAAGGAGCGGCGCGATTACCACCTCACAGTATATATATATACATATATATATATATATATATATATATATATATATATTGTGTTCCGTATATTCGCGAATTGTATAAATACCAAAATGTATATACAAATAAAAAAACAAAACGCGAGACAATAGTTTTTATCAAGTTCGTTGTATCTTGATGTTTGTTTTTATTAAGTTTTTTGTATCTTGATTGTGTAACGGAGCCGCCGTGTTACGCGCGGCTTGCCCGGCCTTCCGCCTGCCGGACAGCTCGGTCGGACCAGGATTCGGGTGAGGAGAAGGAAGAGATTGCGACACGTTCGGTTTGCTGCTGTAACTCAATGATAATATATTCTTAATCTAACTATATACAATGTCTTACTGACGCGGGCTCGAAGCCCTTACGGTCGTGGCGGTTCCGCGGCCTGTGAGTGGCGCGCGTTTACTATCGCTAGTCGGTAGCGGCTGGCGCGGAAACGGGACGGGAACTTACTTACTAAGAAGGCATATGTAATGCCGAGATAACGCGGGGCTCGAGGCCCTGGCGGATGAAAGGTTCGCGGCCCGTGATTGGTGCGCGCGTACGGTCGCGGGTCGGTCTCTGCCGACGCGGTTACGGACGGAGTCTTACTTACTAGGGGGAAACGTATTTACAATGTCAAGACGACGCGGGGCTCGAAGCTCTTACAGGTTAACGGTTCGCGGTCTGGGATTGGTGCGGACGTACTGTTGCTTATCGGTCTTGGCCGATGCGGGGACGGAACGGGAACCTAACTGCTAAGACAGGAGGGACGCGAGTATATACATTGAGGGGATATTTGGTTACGGCGAACGCGGTTACGCGGGTCGGCGTCGGAGACGCGGTGCGCGGGCGCGTGGGATCGTGGCACAACGTGGTGCACGCGGTCAGCGGGTCAGGACGGCTACAAAGTAGCGAGAAATGTCCGGGTACGCCATGAGAACGGCGGTTTCGGTACGCCGTGAGAACGGCGGATTCGGTGCGCCGTAAAAACGGCGATTTCGGTGCGCCGTGAGAACGGCGGTTACGGCGAGCCGTGAAAACGGCTTTCGGCGGGCCGTGAGAACGGCAAAGGGGACGGTCGGTGTACCTCGGCCAATGCCCCGGGCACGGTCGGTGCGGGAACCTTCCGAGTCAGCACCTCGGAGAGGCCAGGATGGGCTGCCCGAGTCAACACCTCGAGAGGCAACGGTCAGGATTTCTCCCGAGTCAACACCTCGGGAAGGAAGGATCGGGTTTCCCGAGTCAAACACCTCGGGGGAAACGTCGCTGGCTCAAGTCAGCTCCTCGAGCGGGTAATATCGGGGCACGGGTGTTTTCCCGAGTCAGCACCTCGGGAAGAAGGAGTTTTGATTCCGAGTTAGCACCTTGGAGATCGAAAAGCGGAATACTTCGAGGCAACGCCTCGAAGGTGGGTTGTCGGTTCCGAGTCAGCACCTCAGAGACCTAAGAATGCTTCGGAGTCAACACCTCGGAGAGCGGGATGGGAAAGGAATGGTGCCCGGAGCCGGTTTTGCTCGCCTTATATACTCGGCGACGGCCCAAGCTCGGTCCGGGACGCGGTGTGCGGTGCGCGCAGGCCCGCGCGTGGGGCTCTGCGCCGGCGCGGTACGGTTTGCGGTCGCGGCGCTCGCGGTCCCTAGATTTAGGGCGCGTTCCTATGAGACAGGATAAAGTGCACATGTTGTAGCACTTTTGGTGCGATCTAACGGCTACTTGGGGACGGATAATAATGTTACGCTCGGAATACTTCTAAGTATATATATTTTCTACACAAAATATTTACAGTGACGGGCTGCCCCGTCTCTCTCTCTCACAATTGTAATTTATATTTGTCGTTTTCTTTTTCTTTTATCTATGCATCTTAAAGAGCATAAGACAAACATAAAAATAAATTGAAATTTATAGGAAAAAAACTGTTTTTCTCCGAAGGTGTGCTACCTTATCGTGGTGGAGGGGCTTAAGTGCCGTGCTGATCCGTAGAGCTATACCAGCGGGAACTTTGGTTTCTGGCAGGGTCACCTTTGCCGGACAGATCCACGGGAAGCGGCCAGAGCAAGAGCGCACTTGGGCAGGCCGGGCTCGTTAGCCCTGTGTGAGCAGCCGGCCTAGGAGGAGGAAAACACCGAAATTAAACCACTACTTCTGCCACAACATGAGTAGTACAGAAGAAGAGATAAACGTACCGGCTCAGAGTGATCGGACACTCAGGGCCCGGCGTGGAGATGTTACCGTCCCAGGCACCTCCTCGTTGTTATCCCGTGATGGGCTATCCTCCGCCTGCACCGCAGAGGTGGGGGGCGAGCTTACGACTGCGAAGAAGTGCCAGGACGTACTTGCCATGGGGGCAAGGAAAATGTCCGGGGCGCAAGTCTCCCTTACGAGGGTGAGCGCGGGTGCTGCCGCTCTTAAGGGAGACGAGACGAAGAAGCCGGCGAAAAAGCGCTCCCGCTCCCCGCCACTTGCCGGCGTGTCCGGGTCCCCACCTTCATCCGGGGACTCAGACAGCATCATGAAAGTGCTGGAGGACGCCATCACACCGGCCCCCACTACGAGTAGGGGCGTGGGGCGGCCTGTGGCTGAAGCTAACTCAGCCAATAAGGGGTTGGTCCGAGAGCTCCGCGAGAAGTGCGAGCACCTCGGACAAGAGAAGGCGGCAATAAAACGCCAGTTGGCGCGACTCGCCACTCGCCTTGGCGAATTGGAGAGGGAAACAGCCCTCTCTAAAACAAAGAAGAGGGTCGTAGAACCTTCCTCCTCCCCCGGGAAGGGACGGTGATGCGCTNGAGCGATTAGCCGAGCGCATCGAGAAGAAGGTAGAGGAGCGCTTCAGCATGTTAAGGAGGGAGCTCTTACACATCAGAGGCAGTATTGCTCCTCCTGTGCTGCCTCCTCTACCTTCAGCAGAAGTTGCGGCTTTTGGGCCATCGCGGCCCAGAGCCACCCGCTCCCAGAGTTTGGAGCTTGCTCCAGCTCCGGGGCCTTTTGCGCGTGTAGCGGCCACGTGGTCTCAGGTGGTGGGCCGCAAGGCTTGCCGAACAAAGGGAGGGTGCTGGTACGCTTTAGGGGGGTACCCCTGGGGCTTCACAACAAGCTCCTGCTGCTGCTTTGGCTCTTTCAAGAGTCGAGCAGCAGCAAAAGAAGAAAAGGGTCGCCTTGTTGGGGCGTCCTCCGGCCAGGGCGGCTGTCCTTTTGACAGTCGACATTGGAGAGGGGCGCAGCTACGCGGCCGCAATGCGTTGCGCGGTTGCTGCAGTGAATCCGGCGGAGCTTGGTATAACCGGGCTCCGCCCGAAAAAGGCGGCAAACGGGGGCCGCCTCTTTAAGGTCTCCGGGCCGGATGGGGCGAAAAAGGCCGCGGCACTCGTCAAGCGGCCCTGGTCTTTGCGGCGAACAAGGGAATCCGTTTCAACTATCCCATCAAACACGCAGAGATCCGTGTGCGAGATGTGGTGGCGGACCTTGACGTCGCCAATGTGACCGCGGCCCTCGCTTTGATGGGTGGTTGCGGAGCTGGGGATGTGCGGGCTGGTAAGGTTTGCGCATCCTCTTTCGGTTTGGGAACCTCTAGGTGAGGCTCCGCATTTCCGCTGCCCGGAAAGTAGCGCGCGAGGGAAGGATGCAAATGGTGTGGCTTATCCTCCCCGTGCCCTTAAAGGCACGGCGAAAGCAGTGCTTTTGTTGCTTTGCTTTCGGCCATTTGGCCGGGCAATGCACCGGGGCAGATGTCAGAAACATCTGCTACTGGTGCGGGGAGGGTGGCTACCATGCGGCAACGTGCTTGGCTAAGCCAAAATGTCCGCTTTGTGCGCGACTAAGCCAGCAGAGCAATCACAGAATGGGCGGCGCAAAATGCGCCCCCACTTCCGTGAAGGGGCGGAAGAAGCGTATTGTGGAGGTTCCACCAGCCTCGGATGGAGAAGCAGGACCTTCACAGCTTCCTCCGCTGGTAGTCAAGAAGTCCACCTCCGAGCCAGAGGAAGTGCAGGAGATGGAAACATCTCCAGAGGTGTCGGCCAGGAGATCAAAGAGGCGCAAGCCAAAAGATCCCTCTGCCAAGGAAAAGGCACAGCAGGTGCCAAGTGTCGGGAGGTCCTCGACCAAAGAACTCCCTGCCAAGAAGAAATCCTCCGGGGCCAAGTCCACGGGAGCTTTGAGTAAGCCGGGGCCCAAGTCCTCTAAACCCATTAAGTGGGCTGGACTTAGGTCCCAACACTTCGGGGTGGGAGAGTACAAGTCCGGACTTGTACCCTCAGGNCCCGGTCCCTTCGGGGGCCGCTTGGCCCGGGTGGGATACCGTACATTATATTATATGGTAGAACTCNTCCAGACTTNGCTCTAGGGGGCTGGACTTAGGCTGGGGAATCTGGAAACTCCCTGGCCATTGCACAAGTCCNAAGGAAAGGGTGGCTNGAGGGGGTTATGGCCCTCCTTTTAGCCACAACGANGGTAGTTGCCCGTACGANCGCGCGTCAGAGAGCCGTCCTCGGTNTGGGGGACNACGGAGAGGTCCTCGTGACGTAATAGCCGAGAGGCTGCCAGGGGGCCTTTNCTGACTAAGTNCCAGCAGCAGGTCATCTTAGGGTTTTAGTCGGTGCAAGTCCCACACTCCCCCTCCCCTTCCCAAGTAAAAAAAAGGAAGAAAACTGTTGGTAATATATACAAAGTAAAATGCAATATATATAATAAAATAAAATAGCTATTATTACTAGACAAAAAAAATTGTTTACTAATTTTTATAAAAAACCAACGATTTGTTTATANTTTTTTAATATGCAAGATGCTTTAAATTTTAATAAATAAACGTCAACAATAAAGCTCAATACCAAAGATATTCAAAACATGAAAACAAACTCATGTCCTTGCGTCAATTCATAATTTTTTTATATTCGATCGGATATTTAATTGTGAGTTTTGAGTGCAAAAAGATTATGAACTTATAGCAACGAGTTTGTTTTTATCTCTCTCCAATTTTTTTATATATTGTTAGAGTTTATCTATTAAATTTTGAACATTTTGCGTATAATTGTGCCTTTCATAATTACAAATATATTGCTTTGTAACATTACTGTAGTCTTACATTATAATATTTTTGAAGGTGGACATTTCACCAATGTCGTAAGCTTGCAGTAGATGGATAGATAGATAACAAAAAGCGGGAGGCTTGTGAGACTTTATTCACGTCACCTAGATCTATAAGATCCTCTGCGACTCCCGCTAGTTGTTTATCGACCAAGCTGCTAAAGCCCGGCAATTGCTGCCAGACTACACAGATGGACAATTTTAATTATTTTCAGGTCCACGGGCTCCACAAACATGGAGCCCAAGGATCTGAATCTCTTGAGTGCTAGAGATGGGCAGTGACACAATATGTGCACGCTGTTCTCCCTTTCCTCACCGCAGAATCTACAACTACTCTCCTCAACTAAGCCTAAGTTGAATAGATGTGCCTTGAAGGCCCAATGCCCTGTGAGGAGACTGATACACAGTCTTTGTTTGTACTTATGTACTTATTGTCAGTAGTTCTTTTGTCTTACCTGGCAATGGCTGAGTCATCAGGGCCTTAGCTTGGCGGCAGCTCTTCAGTACCTCTCAAGATGTCCTGTGCTCCCTTTTCAGCCAGTCCTTAATATAGTTTTTTCCTGTTGCAAAGGGAACTCCAATTACATGGCAGACTGGTTCCTCTAAGGTACTCTGGTTTGCCAGACTATCAGCCACTTTATTGCCTTGGATACCTTGGTAACCAGGTACTCAGACTAGCGTAATGTTGTTTTGCTTGCCCAATCTGTTTAGAGCTTGTATACAGTCCCAAACCATTGATGATTCAGTGGTGGTCTTGGCAAGACCTCTTATGGCTGCTTTGCTATTTGTATAGATATTAATCCTCCTAGTTTTCGTCTCTCTTGAGAGTAGGAGTCTTGCACATTCCAGAATGGCCAGGACTTCCGCTTGAAAAACCGTGGCCAGTTTATTCAGACAAAAAAACTCTCTGTGATTTGATCCTGGACAGTAGATGCCTGCTCCATAACAGCCGATTGCTCTAGATCCATCAGTGAACTATGCATGAGTGCCCGGTTGGATCTGAAGATTTTTGTTTTTCCAGTCTGCCCTGGTAGTCAAGTTTATGAAGAACCTTGTCTACTTGGCGTATTCTGGATATTCTGTCTTGCTTTAAGGTAAAGGGAGGTTTATGAAGAAATCCGAGCCTGGTATGATCTACTCCAAAATTTTTCTATTATCCCAGACACTTTAGTTTATATGCTGGTAGTTTAGCAACGCTGATGATAATCAATTTTAAAGGCGGAATGCAAAGTGCCACTTCCAGCGCTTCTGTTGGTGTCGTTCTCATAGTCCCTACCGCAGCCCTCAAGTACATACTTTGTGGGGTTTTTAGTAGGTTTTTTGATTCCATCTTTTCCACTCTGGGCCGCCGAACAACAGCAGCATATGTTAACCTCGGTACTAGTACCGCTTTGTATATCCATAAGGCAGAATTTAATTTAATACCTCAGGATTTTCCCATTGCTCTTCTACACGCCCAGTATGAGGCATAGAATTTGGATCTTTTTATATCGAGATGTGTTTTCCAATTTAGTTTGGTGTCTAAGTGGACTCCCAGATATTTTACTGACTGGACGTATTCTATATCTTTCCGCTAGAGTCTAAAAGGCTCAATGGCTTTGGGTTTGTATTTCCTGGTGAAAATCATGGCCTTGGTTTCTGATGGATTAGCCCTAAGTCTTTTTAATTGACACTAGTCTTGCGTGATTTTAAGGGCTTTTCCCATAGTCTCCGTAAGTATTGAAAGAAAGTTGCCCCGCACTATAATGGCCACATTATCAGCGTAGCCAAAGGCGAAGAAACTTGTCTTCTGTAATTTATATAAAAGTTCGTCTACGATCAAACACCACAGCAGCAGAGATAAAATTCCCCCCTGCAAACATTCTTTAGCGGGAAAACCATGCACGTTTGAGTCCCCATGATTAGCAATTAGGGTTCTTCCTGTTAGCATGCTTTGTGTCCAGTCTGCTAATGCGGCTGGAATGTCGTGCCTGGTCATCGCCTCCCCGATTACATCATATGAGGTGCTATCAAAAACTCTCTCAATGTCCAGGAAAATGCCTAGGGCATATCTTTTTGCCTCCAATTGTTTCTCGATCCCGCTCACAAGGTGGTGCAAAGCAGTATCCGTGGAATTGCCCTGCCTGTAAGCATATTGGAAAGAGGCCAGTGGATGTGTAAGCAAAGGTCCGTTCTTCAAGAATCCGTCCACCAGCTTCTCTAACGTCTTAGGTACGAAAGAGGTAAGGCGGATCAGTCTTAAATCCCTGGCTAAAACATATTCATTTCTGCCAGGCTTGGGGATAAAAACCACTCTTGTACCACTCCAAGCCTGAGGAACATGTCTTAAGGTTACACTTGCCCTAAAGATTTTAGTAACTGGACCGACTAGTACCTCTAGTTTCTCTTGAAGATGGACGGGATAGATATCGTTTGATCCAGGTGCTTTATATGGGTTGAAGGTCTTAATAGCCCATTCAACTCCCTTTAGATGGACAACCTAATCTCAGCTGCCAGACGCAACTCTCTGGGTTTATATATCCTAGGCTTCGGCTAGCGGAGTTGTATGTTATTGTCAAAACCTGGGAAGTGGACTTCTATTAAATGTTTTTATGTATCCAACGGCTCCTCAGTAACATTCCCTGTTGGAAGCTTAAGACAGCCCAGTTGGGGACGGTGATCTAAGCTGAGAATTCTGTGAAGCCCCCTCATCCGAGACCCTCCTGTCGTTTACCAGACCCGCCACTCTTTCCGTACAAACCGTGATATCGAAGACTTCCTGTTTTCTGAAGTCCAGGAATGTCGGCTTGTTTCCTTTGTTAAAAATGGTTAGTTCTGTGCCCACTAAGAAGCCATGCAGACTCTCTCCCCGCGGGTTGATGTTTGCACTTCTTTATCCTACATGATGGGAATTTGCATCACAACCCAGCAGGAGTTGAAGCCCTCTGGCCCCCGCATAGACTACCAGGGCTTTTACCTCTTTCGGTGGTGGATTGTCCATGGAGTCGTAAGACATATAGACAAACCTTATAAGAACTTCCATGTCCTCTTCCTCGGCCAGCTTCACTCTCACCTTGATGACTGTAAGGTTCTCGCTGCTGAGCTGTGGCAGAAAAATAGCATTTGGTCCTTTAACCAATATGCAAGATCTTACTCTTTTTTCTGAGTGTGCTTTGTATAAACAGCCACACCTACTCAGACCTGTTATTGCACCGTTAACAATCCAAAGTTCTTGGATTGTTAACGGTGCAATACTTGTATGCATCACAGCCATGCTCCTGGCTAAGATAGCCGAGGCGCTTTTGCTGTGATGCAGATTAATTTGGGTCATTTGGATGCCGGAAAAAAGCCTATTTTAGGCAGTTTTGACACCTTCCGACGTCTCCTTCTTAATCGCCTCTCCGCGCTCCCGCTCCGCCATCTTAACGGTGGTTCGGTCGAAGCCGAGAAAAGGCCTGAAGCCACAATGCTTCAAAGCTTCTAGTGCCGAGTCGCCAACCAGGCAGGAGAAGTGGACGCTCAAGGCGTCCCTACTGTACGTCCCCCTATTGACGACCCTTTTACTGGTTACCAGCCCTGTGTTCTGTTGGTTGAGGAGCTTTAGAGCCTTCTCAACATCTATGTCAGGTTCCTCTACATGCACCACCACGGTGCTGCCTAGGTAGCTCACCGACCGGCAGCACACACATCAGAGGAATTCTGTTACGTCCGAGTGTTCAAGGTCACGGTTCGACGAAACCGTTTACTCTTGTCGAACGTACGTTCTCCCTTTATGGTCAGCCGTCCTGGCTTTACCGGGGCGGAGAATGAGGATTTTGGTCGGGAAGATAACTGGACTGATTATTACCGATTGGTTTTTTATTATTATTTTTATTATTATTATTCCTGACTGTTACTGATTGTGGTTACCGACAGTTATCGACTGCCGTGTGGTTACCGACAGTTACCGACTGCCGTGTTGTTACCGACAGTTACCGACTGCCGTGTTGTTACCGACAGTTACCAACTGCCGTGTGGTTACCGACCACTGGTTTATTACAGAGTATGTTACCGGCGGAATTACTAACTCAAATATTTTTAAAGAATATGAAGGTTATTTAGTATTAATTCCCCTTTTTCGAATACAACGCCTCTCGTCTTTTNTCTATATAAACCTTAAACCGCGGGTCTGATGGCGGAATTGTTGCCGGATACACCACTTTTGGCTTAGTGATTTTTATTAGTTTCCACCCGGGTTTAATAATTACGCGATGATTTCTAAGAACTTCTATATTGGTCATA